AGTTGATGGCCGATCGCCGTTGGAATAATCATGCAATATTTTTTTTATGAAACCTTAATTTTGACTAAATTGCAATTTTCTTACGTCAAATCACTCCCGAGAAACACCTGGTTTTATATGTCCGAAAAAAAGTGGACCAGAAGTGGATTAGATGCGAAAATCTGTTGAAAATGCATTTGATACTGTCCGTGCCTGTAACTACAAACCAGTTTGTTGAATCCTGAAGATGTCAAAGAACAAATCGTTGAAAATTCAATGCACTTGCTCATAAAAATAAACAACCGATGGAACAACACGATAAACATATGAAAAAGGCTTGTGCACAGGAAACAACTTCATTTCCGATTTTTTTTAATATCTCGAAATTTGCTACATTTAGTAAGATGATCATCGTGAGCGTTATTGTTCAAAGTAAAATCAGAAATCGTCAAAAGTGGTTTGTTTATAAATTTATTTGATCAGGCTCAATCGAATTAACTTTAAAGAGCCGATGATTGTTGTTCACCATACAAAACATCTTAAAACTATAGTCAAAAGGTACAACACAATAAACATTTTATCTTCCGCTATCCAATAAGCCTCCTCAATCAGAACGGGAGCCGCTTTCAGTGGTTTCAATGTATGGCAGTATCGCCAACGGGGGGCAGACCGCTTCCATTGCAGCAATGGTCGCAAAACGTGGTCAGCACTCACACATTCATCACGAAATGGTTGCTTTCCAAAGTCGACGACGCATCGACCGAAAGAACTGCTGATGAAGAACAATGAGAAGGACCACACAATGGTTTCCGCCGAGTAAACAGACGATCGAGTGACATACATCATGACTGACCTGCTTCTGTCGGCAGCCGAGTGAACACTGTTATTAGTGGTTAAAATTCATGTTTTTTTTATTTGAAAACATAGACTTTCAAATATTCATGAAAAGTTGGTCTCTTCAAAATCTGTTAACAAATGTTACACCATGTAAGAAATTTACTTAAATTTTAGCAAGTGATTTTTTTTCTCTATAATTAGGTTTGAAATTTTATATAATGAATCAAAACAAATTATTCAATTTTTTTAAGTGCATAATTTGTTCCCCAAATTTCTCATTTTTAGACGCCAATTCGGAGCAATTAATAGTTTAGAGATATTTTTTTTTCCAAACACAGTATCCATGAACATAAATTCGCTCTTTTATAATATGATGCTTTGGTCGAAATGGTCTAAAGGCTGACTAAAAGTAAATTGGTACGCCCCTCGCACCCCGCTAGCACGCCTCTAGTGTTGAGAATCGTAATTTTTTGACAGTGGTTTGTTTACACTACTGGTGCAAGTTTGATCAAAGTAGTCGATCGCGTTCAGAAATAACGTCAAATTGAACTCGAAAGAGGATAAAATATTGTGCATAAACACCTGGAAAATCCGGAGTGGTCCGGTTCCAAGCTGGCTAAAGTGCTGAAGACGCCGAAAACAACAGTTTGTCGAGTACTCAAAACCTTTCAAGAAACCTTGAGTGTGGAAAGGAATCAGCGGACCTACGAAAAAACTGAAACCAGGGATCGTCAGCTGCGCGGCAAGGTGTTGATGTGCGTTAAAGCCAATCCCGGTCTTTCGATCCGAGATGTGGTCAGAAGGTACAACGCCAACATTCAAACGGTACGGAACATCCTTGCCAAGGAAGGATACAAGTCGTACAAAGCCAGTAAACATCCGAACCGGCAAATGAAGCAAGATTCCATGACCAAAAAGTGTGCAAAGCTCTTGTACAATCGTGTTTTGACGTAACACAAGGGCCTTGCACTTCGCGAAGAAGGCCATGATTTGGCAAGCAATTTTCAGTTGTGGCCTGAAAACGGAGCCATTCGTCACATCCTCGACGATGACATATTGCCGTTCATCCGAAAGCATAGGGGCAAAGTCATCTTTTGGCCCGATTTGGCCAGCTGCCACTACTCCAAGGTGGTTCTGGAGTGGTATGCTGCCAACAAGATCAATTTTGTCCCCATGCTAATGAATCCTCAGAATTGCCCGGAATTTCGATCAATCAATAAATACTGGGCAATTTCAAAGCAGCGACATTGACGAAGCGACGGGGCAGTCAAGGACATCCAGCAAATGCGGGCAGAATGGAAGAAATGCGCTGATTCCGTGTCCGTTTCCACTGTGCAGGCACTGATGGGCTCCATCAAGAGGAAGGTTCGAGATTTCATTTGAACTGGAGAAATGTAACCATCTAATGCTGCAACTTTGAAGTTTTAATAAAAGTACTGTAAAGCAATCATTAATGGACTTTTTAAACTTATTGAATCACGAATTACAGATTTTTTTGTGCGTATCAATTTACTTTTAGTCAGTGCAAAACCAACACATCGCAAGCGTATTCAAAAAAAAAATCAGTAAATAATTCAAAACTTTCCAAAAGTCAACGTTCGCGGCTGTCAAAGTCTATAAAAGGAAAAGGGATCATCCGAGTTCAGTTGAACTTTTTTGCTGCTATAGAGATATCAGCGTGAAATAAATACTGCTGCGAATCCTGAAGAACAGCACAAACTCGCTGAAACAAACAAAAAAAAACAGAAAATCTTCCCAAAACTGCAAACAATTGCGAAAACGGTGCAAGCAAAGGACAAACACGGCGAAAAAGTTGTCAAAGGTAAGGAGGAAACATCGAACAGATAATGTTTTGGTGTGCTGCTGTTATGTACCGACAACCATTTAGATGCTTCTGCTTTTTCGCTTCCTTCAGCCGGCACTGCAAGGCATGGATGGGATCATTGGAAAGGGAGGAAGGTAGGGGGGGGGGGGGGGCGTGCAGAGTTCGATTCCGATACGGTTGTTTTTTTCGCCAGTGTAGAATTTTCTGGTTGAACTCTCAACGGCAACGGTAACAAGCAATTTAAACAACTACCAATCGTGTCCTCCGGTTCTGAACAGTTTCTCTCGGCGGATGAAGGATGCCGATGGAGGACGAGGTTTTTTACACTGTTAATTTAAGCTACTGAAAGCTATGGACAAATGTCGATCAATAGTCAATAATGTGAGATGCTGTTGTAGATTCTAAACAACCAACATAAGCCGTAGAGCATTAGCCCTGATACTACTCTTGAAACATAATTTAGTTGTTCGAATGTCAATTATCGTGTTTCACAGTGTAAACCATCGTAATTCAGCTTCCGAACTAAAAAAAAACGGGCTTCGTAAGGATGAGTAACTGGACAAGGGAAACAGAAAACGTAACGTTCGTGCGCTAAGAGTTCGATTCCTGGCGACACACATGCTGCTCATGTCCGATGTGGTCAAGCACTTGCTTGCAAGGTAAACATCGCAAAAAGCGCAACCTTTCCAACCAATTTGAGTGGTATTGTTTTTGGTGAGTTGAAACAAAAACAATCCCCCCTCCAGCGATGACGACGAGGACGACGTAGGGCTTTTCATTCGGGATAAAGAAAGGCATTACAATCGACTTGCCCCGCATTGTCCACTCCTCGCTGGAGACACATTTATCATGCTAAACGAAAAATAAAAATAACGGGTTTCCTTACTTGGTGAAACAACGAATAACGTTGAAAAAATAGTCTCAAGATACCTGCAATGACATTGAGACTGACTCAAGAGTGAAATTCTATTCAACCATGCTTCGTCAACAAATCCACAAAAACCCATTCTCGACATATGTTGCCCATCCCATCCAAGCAGTAATAACCCTGCTGATCCCGGAAAAAGCATCAGCGTCAGCCCCATTAACCTCAAATCGCGTTACATTTGACGTAAATATGTATTTAATAACCCAGCCATAAGGATGAAACGTGTTCCTTTTGGTGAACACGATTTTCCTGACACTCCTCCAGTTTCCCGAAATTCCTTTCAAATGGCTCCAGGTCCACGCGAGCATGCGACACAATCGTCATCATAATCATCATAATCTTCCGTTTTTCTCGAGTGCTGCTAGAATGAAAGCAGTTGCTTCTGGAATAGTCAACGCGAGCCCCATTAGACATATGTCACACATACACTGGCAAGCAAGCGTTTACCGACATTCTTGGCAGGGACTGAGACAAATCCCGAAAGTTAACCCGGGAGGAAAGTTTCTTAACGTTTTTTTTTTCGTAAGATTAGCTCTGGAGGTGGTGGTGATGGCATTATTGTATGGTGCCTGGAAAAGCAGTTTTGTTCACCATCATCATGAATTACAAGTAAGTAATAAATTTCTTCCGCTTCATCTGCCATTTTCGGTTCGTGTTGGTTGAGTTCCGTGAGGGATGCCCTTAAATTATGACCAACTTCTTATTAATTTAGCGATCAAACTTCCTCCAGTGTATTGCACCACGCCCGAAAGGTATGCAATTTTAGTTTTGTCTACAATTAAGAATTTTAACAAATAACCATCCCTACCATCCGAACAGAACAAATAGTCAAACTACCAGAACTTGCCACTAGCTCAGAGCCTGGCACGTGTGAATGACTATAGAGTGCCCCATCCTGCGAGCATTTTGCTTCCAACAAAACCACATCCACTCACCGACCAAGGCATGACTTGTTCTTCTAAGGCAGAGGAAATCCAGTGGAAAAACTCCCGCCCAGATATGTGATGTGTTATTTGTAGCAAATCATAAAACCTCTCCCCTCGGACCTTCCCTTGCGGCATCATCCTAACAAAGCACCACCACTGCTGCTACATCACTCGCGACAATCCTGTTTCTGGGGGGGGTTTCTCTCCTACTTCGACGGAAGGAAAGTTCTATCCACAAGAAAGAGGAAACGTCTGAACAAATGTGCCATTAGCTATTAGATTATTGTTATCGTAGGGACGTGTTTCCACGGAGAATGGATGGCAGAAGAATGTGTCATAATGCAGCATTGTGGATCCAGCTCGCTAGAGAAAAGGGTAGTTTGTGTGATGAACTATGACTTCGCCCAACAGATGAGATTGGATTCGAACGTGGTCGGAATTCATGCCTTTTGTATGTTTAAAAAATTGCATGCCATTTTTTTTTTGGGAATGGCCCGGTACTTACAGTTCACAATCAGATGCGCCTTGGCGCTTATCTGTCCCACCGAGTTGTGCGCCTCGCAGATGTAGATGCCCTGATCGTCCTGGGCCACGTTCTTGATGATCAAACTTCGGTCCACTTCCAGGATCTCCGCTCGGCCCACCGGGATGTGACCGTTCTCCTTCTTCCACAGAATCTGCGGATGTGGATCACCCCCAACGGTGCACTGGAACTGCACCCTCTGTCCAACCAGGACGGTGATGTCCGTTGGTTCGTTGATGAAATATGGCTTCACTGAAAAACAGACAGAGACAGAAAGACAAGTTGATTGAATTGAAAAACCAGATTATGCGAATGCTGTTTGCAGTCTGATGAGATTATCTCAAAAGGAACGGAAAATGACTTCGTTGGAGGAAATGGTCTTTCCCGCTCGTCAGCCCATAATTCGATTCCCCACGTCCAAGCAGTGCAGTCCTCCTGTTGAGGAGGGAATTGATTTTCCCCATTATTCGCGATGCAAAAGCCTTCCCAACTCTGGAAAAGAAAGGAACTTCCTTTTTGCGATTGATTCGATTAACCCCCCACGACCCTGTTCTGATGAGATGTGGGGGAGGCAGTGGTAAGGAGGAATCCTTTTTCAAGAGATTGAAAGGATGTCAACGCGCACGCCGGCTGGGGCACCCAGCACAGCTCATTTCCAGTCCGACATTTCAAAAGGTCCAATCTGATGCATATAATTTCGAAGTTGCTTCTTACGTCCAGATTTGTGACGAATAAAGTTCGACCCAAACAGTGGCTGAAGCCAGATTGCACCTTTGGCCATGTTCGTCCAGCTTTGGCGGTGGAGATGAGGGTGAAAATATGCAAATCGAATTGTGGAAAGTGCTCTGTTTTGTACGCACAAACGGCTCCGAAGAAGGTAGCCAGCCATCGAGCATTGTTTCCGTGGTGCATAGCGTCGTTGCGTTGCGGTTGGTGGGAATTTTGCGGTGCGATTCTGCCTTTGACAATTGCAGGAAGAAATGGGAAATAGACGAAGGAAATTGTAGTTGATTGATTGAATTTTGACGAATGATTGAGTGAAGGATGAAGGCTCTGGGATTTGAATTGGAATCGGGCGTTTCGGGAAATGGCAATTGGTTCGACACAATAGTGGATTGGGATTGGTGGGTGGTACGGTGTGGAATGGGTTGTGGATGAAGGTTTTTCTTGAACACTATGATGACACAGTTCAAATTAGTGATGTCTTGGCGCATAGTTATTTTTTTAATCGAAAATATTGTTTAGAATGGAACATGTTAGGAGGACATGGCCAATGTTTGTTACGTATTCTTTTGTTACTAAAAAACAGGATTGTTTTGTGTTTAAATTTATTAACGGAACGTCACGTTACTACCCTAGAAATGGGCAATTAGACCCAGATCCGTATAAATAATCCGGTTCTGTATGCAGGCGCCGGTTCAGGGAGAGGCGCCATCCGGGGTACTTCAGGTCGTGCTTTGTAGACAATGCACCATTGACACCTTTTTGCAACTTTGCGTTCCACCGTCCGAAGAGATGAGATGTGATACCGCTGACGAATTTCGTTGACCACTGTTTCGCTGTTGATGTGGCCAAATCGTCTGTGGTACCAGTCTACCAAAAGCTCCATCACATGATCATTTTTCGGCAGAATGACTGGATATTTCGCATCGTATGTAGCCAGGGGGAAGATTCTGTCCGACCTTCCATACGAACTACTCCAAATTCATCTAAAAACGGCGATAAACGTCGAATCGGACTATTTTTCGCCAGTTTCGGTGCCTGCCTTCCATTGACCCTTTTCGTTGCCTTCAACATCTCTATCTCATCGACATATTCTCTTGCTTGTGTAAGCCGCCACAGAGCCCTCTCTGCCCGAACTAGATCTTCCTGCTTCAATGCACGATTGACCTGCGTTGCTCCTTGCTTGCCGAACTCGAAATAACGATCCATAAAGGAGTACACATATGCCGTGGTTCGGAGCATTCGTTCCCACTTCGAGAAGCGATCACTTCTGATACATGGTTGTATCCACGCCGTTCGGTGCACATGTATGGCGCGTAATTCTTCGTCAGTGTTGACTGATGGCGTCTGCTGTTGTGGCCACTCATTCTCCGATTGATAAAGAAAATCTGGTCCGGTGAACCAACGGCTATCCGAATGAAAAATAGGGCCCTTTCCCCATTTCGAGGCCTCATCCGCAACGGTGAGTTTGGTGGGTATCCAGCGCCACTCATCTGGCTGCGTTTCTTCCAGGATTTCGCCAATTCTAACAGCAACGTACTGGCGATATTTTCGAGCATCTGAGTTGATCCAGGACAGAACTGTTCTGGAGTCACTCCAGAAGAATCTACGACCCACGGGAATTGTATGGTACTCGGCGATGGATTTCGCTAATCTGCTCCCAATGACCGCCGCTTGGAGTTCCAACCTGGGAATTGATAGTGGCTTCAATGGTGCCACCTTTGCCTTTGAAGCAACCAAAGAACATCATGGTTGGCCTCGATCGATGATTCAAAAATATGCGACACAAGCGAAGGCAGATTCGCTTGCATCCACAAAAATATGGAGCTGTAGCGTTCGATAACTGTCTCGATCGTATTTGGGAAAATAGCAGCCCGGAATTCGGGTTTTATTCAATTTTGTTAGTTGTTCAATCCATCGTTCCCAATGCACAAGTATGTCTGCTGGAATTGCATCGTCCCATCCAACTTGTGCTCTCCAAAGGTCTTGGATGATCATCTTGCCATGGATGAGCAGGTTTGATATTAATCCAAGCGGATCGAAAACACTCATAACAAATCTCAGGATACTCCGCTTCGTTACTATCTTCGTTGACTCTGGCAGCTTCACGAAGTACACAAAGACATCATCGTCCGTAAGCCAAGCCATACCGAGGACACGTTCCACTTGGCTTTCCTTGTCGATGCTGAAATCTTTCGTTGAGCCAGCTGTGTCTTCCCCGAGGAACTGCAACACCTTCTACGAGTTTGATCGCCAGTTTCGTAATTCAAACCCAGCTGTTGACTGCACCATTCTAACCTCCAAAGCCAGTTTGATCATGTCTTCTTCTTCGTCGCAACTGTCCAAATAATCATCCACGTAGTGGTTCTCTATCACCGCTGTCGCCGCTTCCGGGTATGCTTGCATCCACTCAATCGCGTTGGTGTTTTTTACAAAGTTCGCTGAACAGGGCGAACAAGTCGACCCAAAGATGGCCACATCCATAACATATATGTCAGGCTTCTTCGATGGATCGCTTCTGTAGAGAAAGCGTAGCACCTGTCTATCTTCCTCCCTGATCTTCAGTTGATGATACATTTCGCGTACATCACCTGCAATCGCCACCTGTCGCTGTCTGAAACGACACAACACAGTTGGCAATGACGTAAGCAGATCTGGGCCCTTCAAGAGAAAGTCGTTAAGGCACACTCCTTTCACCTTCGCGGCTGCGTCCCAGATGATGCGTACTTTCTTGGGCTTACGTGGATTTGTAACCACTCCGATTGGGAGGTACCATGTACGATGCGGATCGCTTTCTTCCAGCTCCTGAGACGTTGCTTTGTGAGCATATCCTTTGGTCTGATATTCGGCTATCTGCTTCTCCAAACTTGCCTGTAATTCCGGATGTTTCCGTACCTTTCGCTCGAGGCAGATCATGCGTCGTTCAGCCATGTCATAGCTACACGGTAGCTCCACCATGTCATACCGCCATAACAATCCAGTTTCATAGCGCCCATCCGTTCGCTTGACTGTTGTTTGTCGCAGAATCTCCTTCGCTCGCCGATCTTCTTCTGCTTCCGGCCCACGTTCTACAGAAACTCCATGATTCTCCATCGCAAAGTAGCTTTTAACTAGGTCGTGGATGTTATTTTCTTCCGTGCTCTTGCAAATGTGGAACACTGGAACCAACGAATCCGCTTTTGAGTTGCCGATTTTTCCGAAGACAGTCCATCCCATTCTCGTTTTCGCTGCAACCGGCCCATTTACCTGTCCTTCGCGTATTTTGAGTGGCAACGACAGGTTTATATTGTCTAACCTAATCAGGATTCTTGGAACGGCTTGGTCATAGCTTTTAAGCGGTAGTCCGGCCAAGTAAGGATAATACTGAGACAATTTGTCGTACTGTAATGTCTGTACAGGAAGATCTAATTGACTCACAGTGCTTACACCTCTCAGTGGGAAACTTTTGCCACTTTCTCCCCCGGAAATCATCAGATTGACTAACCGAGAATCAGATTCATGTCGAGAAAGCTTCCCTGTCCAAGTCAAACATAGGGGCTGCAATTCTCCTCCGAGATTCAACATATCTGCCACTTCCTTGTCTATCAATGTTGAAGACGAACCTTCGTCCAGGAAGGCGAAGGTGGATATTTTTACCTCTTTGCCGTGTAATACCACCGGGATTATAGGGAATATTGTAGTGCCTTCGATTTGACGATGGATGTTGACGACGGCGTCTGATCTTGACCATGCTCCAGCACCTTCTGGGTTTGCAGTCGGTTGACTTGGATGTAGAGAGGGATGGTGTTTTTTGCCACAACCTCCAATTCCACAGGTGCGCGTTGACTTGCAGGTCCACTTTCCATGGGGTACGAGGCAGATCATGCAAAGCTGGTGCAACTCTACGGCTTTCAGACGGTCTCCAAGACTGAGCGACTTGAACTTGTTACAGCCCTTGATGCGGTGCTTCACACTCTGACAAATGTAGCAAGGCCTCTCCGGATTATCATCCTTCTTTCTTGGCTGCTCGACCTTTCGTGGTTTAGAGGATACGTGCGCGTTGACGTAGACCTTCTCGTTGTTTCGCTTATCAGTCCCACTTACTCGAGGTCCGTCGAAATCGCTAAAATGTGCTACGTCGCTCGCGGCTAATGTAATTGCAGACATATAATCGCAGAATGCTCCCAAGTCTACATACCCAACATTTTTCTTATAGAGAGCCCAGTCCAAACGGAGGTGGGGTGGCAACTTATCGACTAGCTCTTGCAGCAAAGTTGGATTTGTCAAATGGGCTTGCTGGTTGGCGGCCTTGAGATGACCCACGAGATTTTGAACGACGAGACCAAAGTTTACCAACGTTTCGAGCCTTTCTGCTTTCGGAGTAGGTACACTACGTACCTTGCTGAGTAGCGATTGGACTAATCGCTCTGGGCTCCCGAACAATGTTTCCAGAGTTTCCATTATTTTCGGGACCGACGATGGTAGCAGCAGATTACTCCGAACAGCCTCCAATGCTTTGCCTTTGAGGCATTTCTGTAGCCTCATTAGGT